GATGCGACTATTATTATGATGGATGTATGGCGGGACTTGAAGATCAATGCTTCCTCAGTTTTTGGAATTGTTTCCAAGATCGCGCACTTTTTCGTTCATTCCGTTCTCCTCCTGGAGGACGGTTATAAATTTATGGAAAAATGGAACCATGCTGTTTCCGTGGACGATTTCTTTGGGAGAAGGTGAATTCCTTGATAATCCATCATTCTTTATGGAGGTGTGATAAGAGAGATCCAATTCCGAGGAATCACTCGTAAATCTACGCCTAGGCTTCCGTGATCTTTACTAGTGGATTGATTTCAAAACCTCCTCTTTGATAGCGCAAATGTTGTTAGCAGAGGATACAAAAAACTGAGAACACTCACAGGTACTGGCAATGCGATGGTAAGCACACCGGCCAAGGCACAAATGGAACCGATGAGGCGTCCGAGATATGTGTGAGGTGTTATGTCACCGTAGCCAATGGTAGTCATCGTTACGATCTATGAAGCAGTTAATTAATTAATCAATCTTTGCACTTATTGGTGCACTATGACACCAACGCAGAAATGGCTTAGTTTTAATAGAGTGAGAGAAAACAGGAAGAAAAAACGAAAAACGAGACGATGACAGTAATATTTCTAATGTGATTCATATCAATCAGTGTTTTGAAGATCTCTTCTGTGTTGTTTGGAGGCATGGTTCCGATTTCCGACACGGTTAATATCGGAAGAAGGAAATGGATTTTTCAAAATGTTTTGTGTTCACTCACCGCCCACCATAATCCTATCGGTATACTTTGAAATTCGTTGTTCGGATTCGGCTCCACTCGTTCTGCATAGTAGACCAATGAGGCGAACACAACAACACCGAGTACGAGGAAAAAAACGAGTAACATGAGTTCCTTGGCAGAAGCTCTGCAAACTAGGCATTGAACGACTGCTTGTACGTGCATGATGTCATCAAGTGAACATTGGTTTAGAAAGGGAAACCGGAGCATTGAAATATCAGCGCACAGCAACACAGCCAAAAATTGAACGGTGTAGGCTGAGCACTGCACACCTCTTATATGTATGAAGTACTTTTAGTCTTAAATGGCAGGAAAGCGTGAGTTTAGGGTGATTTCGTCGTTGGTTTCTGGACCAGAAAGCTTCTGTAGGTTGTGGGTGCCATTGAGCGGATACATCGGTATATTATCATCAGCAGGGTTAGGTCACCCATGATCAACCATTGGGGGTTAGGTCACCCATGGTCAACCATTGCGGGGTTAGGTCACCCGTTGCGATTTTCCCTGCGGGCGGGGTCGTATTGGTGATTTTGAATGGGGTGGCGTAAATGGAACTTCGAGGAGGAGTCGTAGTTGTGAGAAATATGCTGAAAGGTCGCTGAATTGAGCCAGTCGTTGGCGTTGCCCATTCTTTGATGACGACTATCAGGACCTCTTACACACCTATCGTGATCGTACCAATACTTATCACCTTATCCTTTGGAAGTACGTCAACGGGAACAATTGTCAAAAATTGATGGAATGGGAGAATTTTTCAGATTTCTTCGAATGTTGTCGATTTGTTAAGCATACTACAACTAGACACGTCTCGCCAAATTCTTTTATTCCCACCTTTGTCGAAAATACAAAGCTCATTTTCAAAAACGGCCCTGCTTTTAAAAGGCATAAACACGACTCGAAATTTGATTAGAGCAATAATCTCAAGTCAAATTGGTGGGGTATAATTATTGAAATTGTGGGTGATGAAATGACTGATAAATATGAAACAAATGAGCGGACCCTCTGACCCTCGCCCGTTTGAAATAGGAGGGGGATGAGGGCGAGTTGTCTGATCTCGCTTGCTCCATGGCTCCACCAATTCGAGCGTATTTTGATTAGCCGCTGGGTCGGTAATCCACGTTGGACTGTGCGCAAGGTAGCTCGTCCATTAGCTCACACTAGCCGTCACTAGCTCCTTAGTAAGGGCCTAGTGCCATTATCGCGCACGCTCAAGCCGCTGCAATGGCACATGTGTGAAACCCGTGTTCTATCCCACCCACGGAATAGATTCTTCGATAGACCTCATCTGGGGTTGTTGCTTTATTGGATGGTCGGCACGACGTGGTGTGACATCTTTTTTATTTATACGTGTAAAAATTGAGCGACTCGGGTCTTTCAGATGCTACTTCTTCCATATTGTAACTCTAGTAGTTATTCATTATCTAAGTAGGATTGTGAAAATTGTATCAATTCGAATGAATAGTAAGAATAATGAATGTTACCTAAATGTATGCATAAGTATTTTCAACCCGCTGTTATGATGTGTGAGCTTGAATAATCGCATAATTCGAATAATTGAGAAAAATTCCAAATCAGCTGATGCGCCAAATGTATTAATCAATACGTCTATATAGAAAGTAACCGTAGCGACGATATCGATCAGATTCACCGGTGCCTGGAAGTTATTGAATAACATCAAAGGCTGCTGTAGACAGGGATATAAGCTCACCTTCAAATATTCCAGCCGCGATGGGCAACACGTAAATCGTACCAGTATTTCTATAGTGAACCATATATTGCATAAAGTTTCTACCATCTAAATATCACAGTGTGGAATAAAGTGGAGGAATTGTGATGGAAAAATTGAATTCACGAAATAAAACTGAGTACGCATGCACAGTCGCGGGCGGTTGCGTCGCGGTCATGGGAACATAGCTGCTCTCAGCACTGACTACATCAGGGAGTTAGTAACAGGTTATTTCGTAAGAGGCAGTCGTGTGACTGCTCCGCAAAGTACTCTTTTTTTTCTGCATCTCCGCAAACTTTGGCCAAAAAGCGTCCCGAAAAACTCGAACGCGGAGTGTTTCTTTACTACATTCCTTTTTCATTTTTAGTTTAGACAGTCATACCTCGCAAATCCCACTGCCTTTTTCATCCATGGGGTTCCATGGTATAATAGACTTCCCCCCCCCTCCCCCACCCC